TGGGTTTTCTGAAAGTGGCGACTTATGTGGCATTGACGGTAGAACGTAATAACAAGTAAACTCAAAATATTTCCTCCCTGATTAGATTGCGTAGCTAGTTGCAGTTACGTCAGAATGGTCTTAGGGTAAATACACCATATTCCGACATCGTGGGTAATTCCGATACTTCTCAACTTTTTCCTTTATATTAAGCTTTGTCTTAGTTCCACGCATGCGTAGATAGATGGTTGAAATAGTGACGTCATACTAAATAGTGATACAATTGCACGCCAGATCAGTGTGGAATTCTAGAGGGATAATAAATTAACTAGTACACATAGCATATTGGAAAGCAGGACCTGAGAGCTTGGAGGCCAGGAACTTTACACTTTCAGTCCATTATTTACATTTCCTATCCCTCTTCAGAATTCTAGCTGTGAATTTGGTTGATAGGATTGTGATTTTAGCCCCTTTCAGCTTTCCAGCTGTAGTTGGATAATGGAATTGTAATGTTATCTGCTTTCTAGCTGTGATTGGTTGATGGGGATGCTTTCAAGCTGTGATTGGTTGTGCCCTTAAGCCCCGCCCCCAAGTATGGTATATGTACTACAGTACTAGTTAATTAAATACTTAACTGTAACTTGATCATTACAAACAAAAGGCTTGGAAAATTTAAAAAATTCATTAAATAAAAGACAAATACAAAATATCTATCAAACAAGTGTTGAAGTGACATCTAAATAATTATTTTACAAATTTAATGTACTAGTTTAAAATTGAAACATTTGTCCACAGTCCACTTATGATCCACTTTTTCATTTATAGTCACTTTAGTCATTCACCTGGAAGAGCACTGTGGGAATGGGAAAGCTTTTCAGCTTGGGTGGAAAGCTTTTCAGCTTGGGTGGAAAGCTTTTTAATGAGTGAACTTTCATTCTTAGAATTCCAGCCTGTGCCAGATTTCTGCAAAACACTAGGTTTGGCAGAAAAATGTCAAGATCCTCAGAGCAAAAGTCCACGTCACCCAGTTCGAACATCGAACAACGTGTCAAAGTTGAACTTGATAGTTGACCTTGCTCTACCAAATAGTGATACTGATAAACTGTTTGTGTAGAAAGAATATTATGGTTTGAGACTTTTAAATAAGTCTGTGAAAGTGTGAATATAGTAGGAATCCTTTAAGTATACTTGTATTTGAGTGTTAAATAAATTAATATATGATTAAGTTAAGAGACAGTTTTAGACACATGAAGACTAATTCCAATACAGCTCAGAATTAGACACACACAGCTTGTTCTGAGCTGTGTCATATTCCAATACAGCTCGCACAGGGCGTTGGAATTCCAACACATGGTGTTGGAATTACGAATTACGGTTTTGAAGCGTTGTCGGAATTAGTCTTATAATATGCCAAATTTAGTCACACACAGCGTTGGAATTCAGAAATTTTGTAGATTCGAATTCTAAAGGCTTTTAAATAAATATGGCAACAGTTTGCAATGTTTCATCATTGCTGGCGCATAGTGTGGTGTTTTGAGAGTGACATAAAGTGGTGGTGTTTTACCACTTTGTGCACCCTGGACCATAAAATGCTACACGGAGCTGGGTTCAAACTTGCACGTCTCTGCTCCAATCTTTTTAGTTTGAATTTTAACACTGGGCCACCCTGTTATTGTTGGCTGTATGATTGATCAATGTTCGAACTTGGAAGTTGGATGGTGTTAGCCTGATTGCAAGCATGGAAAACATCTCCCTTTAGGGCCGCAACTAGAGCTTCCCCGCCATTTCCGGAACTGCGAGATTTCCACTAGATGAATTACCTCCTATCTAATTGTTAACAAAAATGCTCGATTGGGCCGCGAGTTTCCAAATGTATTAAAAATTTGTCACACCAGAGCCGCGAGATTTAAGAAACAAGTAGGAAAATTCCAATCCTGCCTGATTGGTTATCATGTGATTATTGCAATGGATCTCTAACTCCAAGTCTCTAAAACAGGATGGACTTCTAAAAATGATGGTTAATATAATGATATTTTCAATCCACCTTGCCCCTTGGCAGGTTTTTGATCCAAAAATTTTGGTGAAGATAGCAAGTCTGAAAGGAAGAAAAATAGGAGGAATTAAAATTGCACTTGGAAGAATTAAAGTTGCAGCACTCAAAGATTTAAAGTAAACTAAATAATAAATATCAATTCTTTAATAATTTGAACGCAACAAAGTAACATTCATTATGTAATAACAAATCATGCGCTACTAAAGGCACCAAATCCACCAATACTAGTTCAATGCAATGCACACTGCAGAGTCTGTTTGAGGGAGCAAAATCATGTACATGTAAATACAGATCACTCTTAAAAGCTGAATGTGCCAATGACAGCAAAATGCTAAATTGCAAAACATTTGGCCAACAATGGATCAATTGACTGTGGTGGAAAATTGTGTTGATTCCCAAATTTTAGGAGCTGACACTATAATAGAATATCACTATATGTCACTGGTGTCAAAAAAGGTAAGGGGAAGGTAACCCCTCCGGAAAAACTTTTTTGTTTACAGACGGATCTTTCTGAAACTTCACACATATATGTAAAACCTCAAAAGAATCACATTTTGTTCGTGTGATTTTTTCTCAAAAATTCATAGAAAGCGGACAAAAAAGGGGGTACTGTAAAAATCTATCTCCTCCTTGGGTTTTCAAGCTACAACATAGAAACGTGTATCATTCGATGCGTAAAGACCATACCAATCGAGTAACGAAACCCGATTTTTGATTTTTGCCTTATTTTTTTTGCACGCATTTTTCCATTTTTTTCATTTTTTCTCATTTTCTTTAGATTTTCCCCCCTTCCCCCCATTTTGAATCCAAACTATGCACAAGTCTGAAAAAGGGCTTTGTTACTCAATAGGTATGGTCTTTACAAATTGAATGGTATATGTCTCATCGCCATTGCTTCAAAACTCTAGGAGGAGATAGGTTTTCTGTGACAATAAGATAAACTTTTCAGGACAGCGCGACAAAGTCCCGCACGCCTCGAAATAGGCACTCAATGTAGCATGGATACCAAACTACAGGCTTCTGTAGCTTCCTTCCACTCAAGGATGGTAGCAGCGACTTGCAGTACACCTCTCCTTACGAAGGGAGGAGGGTGACTGAGCCTTCATGCCAGAAACAACCATATATCTAGTGTTGGCGAGCAAATTACCTCCCATCTATTTACTGAAAGAACTCCTCCCCCTGCTCCCCTTTAAAGAGCAGCCGTGTACGTTTAAATTCACATACAGGGATTGCAGTGGTAATGTTGGATAGCTTAGAATGTCAGCTTTAAGATGAGACTAAACGGGTAACTAAAGCGCACCTCAATCAGACACTATATTTAAAATGCTCAGCAGCTAATTAACTTGTATCTAATTAGTGAAGGAGCTCCCCCACCCGCACCCCTTTAACGAGCCGTCATGTACATATAAATTCACGTACAGGGATAACAGTGGTATCGTTAGATAGGGCAGAATGTCAGCTTTAAGATGATACTAAATATCAGAAAAGCCAAAATCCAAAAATTTTAGGGATACCTCCCCCTTAAGAACCACAACCTTTCATATTAAGTTGAATCTAGAAACTTGAACCATAGTGTTTGAGACATATCTACCTATTGTCTGGAATGTCTACTTAAACATGTTCAACTAACTCACCAATAGTGCCTCAAGGTAAATAACCGCATGTGGTTTAACTGATTCGATACTTATTGCTAGGAAATTATTGAACCTGGAAAGCGTGGATTCATGAAATAAAATGAATCAATCACTTATTCAAAGTCAGTCACCACTCCGTACTTGACTATAGCATTAAGCACTTGCTAAAAGTGTTTGGGGCAGAAGCCGCCTGTGAATTACACAAAAATGCATATGAATCTTGTCAATTTTATCCATTTATATGGTCTTTTCCCTCCCAATTTCAATAGTGAAAAATTAGAAAAACAGCCAATGGTTACCCAGTTTTCAAAAATCACCAATGCACCAAAAAGGTTACCATAATTTTATGAAATTTTCATCTTATAAATTGGGCTGCAATCATTCAGGCATTATATATATAAATATATTTTCTTCAATATTCTTTATCATTAGAAGTAGCCAAACTGGAAAATTGAGCTGAAGCTATCAGTGAAATGCGATAAAAACGTGTATGCTTGTTGTATTTTTTACCAGGTTTTATGGATCTTGCTTAATTTATTTCGACATATAAATAAGAAAAATTGAACATTTTGATCTGCAATTTTTATCACTTGTCATAAAACAATAGTTTTTTCCAGTTTGCCCATAATTTTTGGAAAATTCTGCCCAATATTCCTGATTGATAATGCATGTGACAAAAATAACCATGCTTGTGGTCAATTTTATGCATTTCTATGGCGCTAGGATATCTGTAATAAGAATTAGAAAAAAATGACACATTTTTGTCTGCTAATTTTAAACCACCTGCAAAATGAATTTTTTTTACCTGAAATTCTTGTAAACTTCTGCCCAATATTCAAGATTGGATGAGTAGGATATAAATCAAGCATTATGTTTTTATTGCATGGAATATATATTGATACATTCTTTGTTATGACTAGAGCTTTCTTAACATTCTTGGAGCTGAGAGATTCTTCTTAGATGAATTGCCCCTCTTTTGATTAACAAAAAAAGTACATGATCTGGCTACAAGATTTCTAATTTATTGAAATTGGGTCACTTTATAGCCACAAATTTTGAATAATGAATAAGAAAATTCCAATTTTTTTGTTGCAAGTTTTCATTTGGCTTATTCAGTGATTTGGCTACTTTATTTTCAAATTATTCTCTCTTTTTCTTTTTCCTAAATACATTGTGTAAATTATTTATTTGTTAATAGCTCTTATATATATGTTCAACTAATTATTATTTTGATAATATATCTTTTTGATATTGCATGAATTACTCTTAGATTTACCTTAATTGTCTAATCAATGTCTATTTATTGGGTTATTACCTAGGAAAGTGAATCCAGTAAATGTTTGTTGCAATAGCAATGTTATGTACATTTTGATTTGAAAGCAATTGCCATCAAATTTTAAGTTATTTCATACGAGTTAGTAACCATAAACTCTTCACAGGTTCTTACAGGTGATCTGCAATGTACCAGCACATCCGTCTTTGGCCTTCTGTGGCCCCAGTGATTAGAGGAGTCATTGGTGGTCGTTCAGAGCTCATTCACTCTGTTAAAAATTATGGCCAGTCCCACATCTCTCAGACCAAAGAGCCATGGAACATAGTCTGTTCTGCACAACAAACTCACGCACAAACATCTGCTTTTTCCACTCTACCACAAAATTTTCATACTCAGTTTACCAATTCACTTAGCCTACAATCTAAACTTTATCATTCTCCTATATTGAATTCATGCAATAACCTTCAAGACTTCATACAGAATGAGAACGAACATGCACACTCAGTAATGTTGTCTTTGCCTGCCTACAACAACTCAACTGTGAGAGCAGCAAATATTTGTGACGTGTTACCTCCTCTTGATACAAGCACTTCACCTCCTCCCTTGCCCCACATAGACTGGTCTAGCGTTCTGCCTGAGGGCATAGCAGGCTCCTTCATAGCCCTCTCCAAACAGTGTAAAGATCGACCCATGGACCTAAATTCAGCATCTCACAACAATTTGAATTCTGCACTCGTTTCGTGCGTGCCAAGTTTGTCAGATGCTACACTGAAGGATGTGCTTGCTGCTCTGACTTTATGGCCACCAATGCCTTATATTAAGGACAGTAACTTCCACGTGTTATGGGAAGCTCTTGACTCCGAATGTGTGAAAAGAGTTCATAAATGGGATTTACAGCATGCATTTGTCATTGCTGATTTATGGTTCATACTAAAGTTGTCGCGTGCTGGCACCTACACCAAAGCCATGCTCCCTATAGTGGGCCATCATTTCAGAAGCATGGAGTCTCACCAGCTGGTCCAGTATCTCTTCTATATGAATTTGTCTCGAGACAAACCATCCATCAGCTTCTCCTTACTAGAACAAAATCTATCGAGAGTTATTAATCAGCTCTCCCTTGAAGAACTTGGTGTAGTAGCTATGGGCTTGTTCAAAGTTCAAGCATTTGTTAAAACTCCAGAGCTGACTGACGCTCTTTTCGATTATTTATTGAGTTCGGATTTGAGAGGAGCGTCGAGCATCACAATAGGCAGCATATTCAAGATCTTGAGGCGAACCTACCAAGCAATGCGGGTTGACAAAGTCATGAAGCTGCTTGAGCACGTACGACCTGTTCTCTCGCAATTCAGTATCCAGGCTCAGCTGCAAATTGCGCTCCTGGGCAATGACGTGCTGGTCTTCCATCCACAGGTAAACTAGCTATTCTGAAAGACTGAAATTAAAAGTTTAAAAGATTATTTTCCTTTTGACAATTAGTTGAACGTTCTTGCTGGTGGAAATTAAGTTTTATCTCGAATGATAGCGCAAAGCCGCAAACTTGAGTTCAGTTTATTAACCAACGAAGAATGTTTTATTTTTGTTCCCTGAGAAGCTCCATCGAACAAAGTTCCTTCACTAGACCTGTTGGTAATTGTGCATCTGTAGATGTTTTTAATTTTTTATCACACAGGGTTTTAAAGCAATTACTCACTGCGGTAATATATATTTTTCAAAATGTTTGAGAAATGAAAATGTATCTTTTGAATTGTCGGAAGACTATATGGGATATTCATTACATTTGTTGTTTGAATGTCGTGATGATGTTTTTAATGCCTTGAATTTTCTTAGGTCATAAATGAAATTGCACTGAACTTCGTAAACAACTCAAACAAGCTGCGCCTCAAGGATATAGAAAGAATCGTTTTTGCCCTCGCTCTGTACAACTACATACCGCCACAGAAGAAAGACATTCTCGACTTGTTTGCAGAAGAAATACGTCGACCAGAGCGTCGTCAGGAGATCAACCAATACCCAAAGTCCTTCTTATCTTGCGTGTCGTACATGGCATGTATGGGCTTCTTCCCTAATGACCTCATATCAACTGCACTACAGCCTGACTTTATCACGTGTGTTTCTTCAAACAGTGATAATTATCTGGATATTGGGCGCGAAATCATGGAGCTGGACTACACTGTGGAGATAGACTCGCCTGCCAATTACAAAGGACACAGGCTGGACCGATCCTTCAGGGACAACTTACTGAAAACGTACAACTCGCGATGGCGTCTGCCAGCAGAGGCGCTTGCTATCAAGGATCCTCAACCACCCGTGACCCACAACGAGCGCTTCATTGTTGACGTGCACGACAAGCTTGGCTTGCTGTTAGGCGGCGACGATCGGGTCATCACTTCCTTCATCTTGCCCCATGTATCTATTCCAGGTACATATTTATAGAATTATTTATCATAGTTTATTAACTATCATTGTTTCTTCTTTTCCTTCATCTTGCCCCATGTATCTATTCCAGGTACATACTTGTATAACTATTTATCATAGTTTATTAACTTTCATTGTAAGCACCATTTTTCATCATTTCTCCTGCTGCTTGTATCTATTCCAGGCACATATTTATAGAATTATTGTACATATTTTTCATTTAAATTGTTTTATTTCTAATATAATTGGCTAGTTGTAAGCAATTAGTTTATAAATTAATTTTCATACAAAAATTTATTCCTCAAATAACTAAGGTTTCCCCCCAACGCTTTTAGTACGCAACCGTAGGAGTGTAACGCTTTTAGGCTCAACCGTAGGAATATCTCCAGTCTACAGTCCACGTCTACATGTGCCACACTGCTAATTACCTATGCATTAGAAATTGGCAGTAGCAATTCAATCATATCATACTTACGTTTGAAGTGCAAATTTTCGGTTACTGTAGAAATTGATTGGTGTTACTGTTAAATTGATTGGTTACTGTACCGACGGAAAATCGAATGACGGAATATCGAATGCTCCGTGTTGCAGATATAGTGCTGTGCCTGAACTCTAGCGGTGAACCGAAGCCTGAGAGTTTTGTGTCATTGCCGCAGGTGGCCTAAGCATAACCACTTCCAGTAGCAATAGAATTACCTCATACTTCGTTTAAACTGCACATTTACTAGTTAAATGTAATGGTTGATTATCGGAACAATTAGAGCCACTCTTCGTGTTGCAGATATCGTGCTGTGCCTGAACGCCAGCGGTGAACCAGTACCGCTGCCTGAGAGTTTCGTGTCGCTGCCGCAGGTGGCCTAAGCATAGAAACTTCCAGTAGCAATAGAATTACCTCATACTTCGTTTAAACTGCACATTTCCGAGTTAAATGTAATGGTTGATTATCGGAACAATGAATGCACGTTAGAGCCACTCTTCGTGTTGCAGATATCGTGCTGTGCCTGAACGCCAGCGGTGAACCGGTGCCGCTGCCTGAGAGTTTTGTGTCATTGCCGCGTCTGGCGATCAAGCGGCCGCTGCAGCGCTGCCCGCTCACCGGCCAGCAGCTCAAGTTCATTTCTGTGATCGCGGGAGGCCGGAACAGCTACGTTAGAGGCACCTTCAGGGTCAGGGGGCAACTTCAGAGTAAAATGAGACACCTTCAGAAGCTTGGCTACCATGTGTGTCTGGTCAGTGCAGTCGCCTCATAGCCTTTTAATTATTTAAATGTTGTTAAATTAGACCAAATGTAATTAACGTGTAACAAAACCGCGTGTTTGATGTAACATTTTTGTGTAATTTGTATTTTTATTTGAATGACAAATAAAAATTTGAATTTTTATATGAATAATGACAAATATTTTTAGCGATTCAGGTCTCTTGAGTGACGTTATCAAGCATACAATTAGTTTTCTTCTCTAAATGTACTTCTGTGTAAAAAAAAAATGTACAAAAAATGCCAAATTGTGGCAGACAACCAACAAGAATAACTGCAACGGCAGCCATAATGGCCATAAAACATTTAATCACGTGATATTGTCATAGAACTCATAAGTTTTCCATGTTTTTTTCCAGGTGCCGTTCATGGGATATCACAAACGCGCAGTGAAGTACAAGCTGGCGCTGCTGGACGAGCTGCTGGTGCAGCAGGGGGCGCTGGACGTGGGTGGCGAGCGCGTCACGTCGGCCCTAGCGACGCTCGATGCAGTCAAAGCCAGCGGCCAACTTGCCAGATGATCTTGCTTGTAACCTGCCTTTGCTCACCTACCTAAATTTGTATATAGTTTCCTATTCTGTAATTTATTTAGCCCCTTCATAGATGACTTATATTTACTACCTACATTACATTTAATTCTTACCATAACACAGAGCTCGTCCAAATTGCAAAAAGATTGGTAACTTCATTCAACCGATGATTCAAAGATAGGGGTTAGGAGTAGTACAAGCAGATATTGGAGAAAATATTTGAAGACAACTAACTCAAACTATGTCGAACGAGCTTTTTCAGTTAAGCATAAATAAGTTGATTATTATTCATTATACATGTATTGTTGCGTTGCAGTTACCCTTGTACATTTGGTCCCTGCTGCAGTTAATTTAGTCTCTTCATGGTCTCTATTTAGCCACATGGGTGACTGATGGTAATACGAATGTGTACTTTTGGTGGCGAGCGCGTCACGTCGGCCCTAGCGACGCTCGATGCAGTCAAAGCCAGCGGCCAGCTTGCCAGATGATCTTGCTTCTAACCTGCCTTTGCTCACATACCTAAGAGTACCCACACGGTGAAAGCAGGTTTGCCCGTGCGGGCAACCTGCTCCAACCTGCCACAAGAATGAACATAGGATAATAATGTAAGTGTTCACAATGAAAACCTGTACGAATACGCCAGCGCCAGGCCAGGCCTATTTATTTCAATTTCAAGCGCCAGCCTCAGCAGGTAACCAGCACGCTGGCAACCTGCTTTCACTGTGTGCGTACCCTAACTTTGTATTTAGTCTCTTCTTCTGTAATTCATTTAGTCCCTTCATAGATGACTTATATTTACTACATTACATTTAATTACTCACCACAACTCAGAGCTCGTCCAAATTGCAAAAAGATTGACAACTTCATTCAACCGATGATTTAAAGATAGGGGTTAGGAGTAGTTAGAATACACTATTAATGAGACTATGCAGAGATATGCAAAATTTCAAGCAGATATTGGACAAAATATTTGAAGACAACTAACTCAAACTAGGCTGTACGAGATTTTTCAGTTAAGCATAAATAAGTCGATTATTATTCATTATACATTTATTGTTCTGTTGCAGTTATCCTTGTACATTTGGTCCCTGCTGCAGTTTATTTAGTCTCTTCATGGTCTCTATTCNCTCTATTTAGCCACATGGGTGACTGATGGTAATACGAATGTGTACTTTTCTTGTAACTGTCACAATTAATTTCTTTGGCCATAAGCACGGAAACGCTCTGCATCTCAATATCATTTTCGAGCTGCCTACAGCTGTTTTAAAGCGCACATCGGGCTCGAACTGAATCTAATTAACTTCATGTTGAAGTTGAGATGATATTACTACTTCAACTTATCGCAGTGATCGTATGTGTTCCTTTTCACGGCTGAAATTTTGTTTCCTTTTGATGTGCCATGATTTTTGTCTTAAGAATATGAAGGTACAAGTATTTTTATTTTTACTTGAACGTTGTAAGAACCTGAAGAGAAAGCAGAACTCGGTGTATATCTGCCCTGCCGGAGACTCTGGGCCCTTCAAATTTGATAATTTCTCGTAAATTTTCTCTGTGTCGAAGCTCAAAATTGCTTACAGTGAATTTTAATGTCAGAAAGGAAGATGTCACTCGAGATATTATTACACTGTCAACGTTAATTTTCTTTGACCTCGTTTCTTGGTAGTGAATTCAGGGTTCTATTATAGACTGACACTAAAATGAATCAAATTGAAATAATAAATCCAACAATCGACCATCAAGTATAATGATTGGTTCGTATAATTAACTAAAATTATGTGCAGATGTGAGAACCGCGAATTTGAGTAACGGAAACTTTTTGAACTTGTTTCAAGAAGTAATTATGATGGTTGGCCTGACACTTTTCTGAATGCCACTTAGGCGCAATTTTTGTTGTGAACTGTTAACTGTTAGTACTTAAATGTCATAAAATATTTCGAAGAACGATGTTCGAATAATATTGTAATTAATGTCTATTATGCCATAGTGTTCTGCCTGACATTTTTCTTCATGGTCAATGCTTTCGTCTCCCTTTCTCAGTTAATGTACATGTTGCTTGCTCATGTAGTTTACATGCTTTCTAAAAGCATGAGATATTGATGGGAATTAAGTCTTGTTTGTCGCCGTCAAAATCTTGCAGAAAAGTCCTTTTTTCGTCCAAATTTTTGATGATAGGTCGTCTCTTTCGATTAGTTTAACAGCTCTTAATTCAAGAATTTCGTCTTATTTTATATTATATCTGGAATATGAAAGTTGGCGATAAGCAGCAACTTAACTCGATACCGTTACAAGAAGCATTCGCATGAGCGATTCTTCCCCTTTTCATTTTATCCTAAATTTCCAGCGATATTCATTGGTTTTGGATAAGCTTCTCGACCATTGGCGTAGTTCAACAATAGACAAAACATGTCTGCTTGTGATGTCCATTATGTGATCTTTGGCAACGCTCTTACCTGGTCGCTCACACCTCATGTTGCACGCTGCTTGTATGAAAAGTAGTAAGTTCTTTCAAACTTGACACCTTTTGTCCTCCATAAAATCACTGTATGCTATTAACAGCGTTTCTCAACACGAACCAATTTGTTAAAATTTTTATTTAAAAATGGAATTGGAAAATGTCAATTAAAACATTGTATATTGCGTTCAATGTTGAGTGAAAAATTGCCCGCAATGCAGTAAAGATGTCAATAATAGGGTACTTTTTATCACCTTCTACGTGTGTGTATACGTGCATAACATTTAAGTGATCAATAAGTTGTTCTCAAATATATTCAAATACAGTAATCAACTAAGTCCATGTTCATGTATCTTTGTGAAAGCAGCTCACGTCAACACGACAGGAATGGCGTAGAGGAAAATTTTTCCAATGAAGGGAGCAAGCAAGACCAACGTAATTTTATCTTGTTATAATAAAAACAGGCGTTACAGATTTTATAGCCTATTATTTGGCGTACGATGATTACCCTAAATAAGAACTTTAAAAACCATAGATACTGAAAAAAGACAGTAGATAATGAACTAAAAATATCTAAATTAATGACGGAATCTCAATAGGCTTCTTTGGAGTCCAGAGTTCGATAACGTCATGGTAATCAAATGAACAATAACGCTCTATTCAAAATAAAAAATTGCCGCTCGGCGGCCAATAGTAGCCACAGCCTCGTCAACGATCTCTTGTCTACGCGTCAGAACGGATATCCTTCGCAAGTCTGAGGAATATAACAGGCACGAATTGAAGTGACTGAACAATGTCTAGGGAAGAAGAGATTTTAGGGGATCATGAAGGGAGCTATTGTCTGCATAGGCTAGTCGAAATTTCAATCCCTCAAACTTACAGTAAAACGTTTGTCAAACAAGGATCAATTGTGCTCTTTACGAATCGACAGCCTTTTACCAGCTCACAGTCACTGTTTTTCCCCGACAAATCAACGTCAGCAAATCACAGCGATGGTGACGCGCGATTTGTGGGAATTGCATGTAAAAAAACTAAGTATTGACTTATCTAACTGAAGCGTAACTGAAATATTTACACCATGAGCGCAGGCATTCAATAAAAAGCGTGAGACAAAATACTCTGAAGTCATTATAAGGACATCTTTGATGATATGATTTTGTTAAGTACATATTTACTAATCGTAGAGAACTAAGCATGCATGGATACTTCCTAAAATATTGCTAGAAAATTCCAAGTTTTCTGCCTTAGAGACGAGAAAATTCCACACAAATTTACTATTTTATTATTTTTTTTTGTTGCAGTGTGTATTTCAACGCTCTTATTTTTACTTGTCTAACCATTGCCAAAAACTCTATGATTAGAAAATATAGAAGTTACGTATTGACAATAATTAGCTAAATCAAGCCTGAAATTATTCTTCATTCATAGTATTGCATGACAGGGACGCTACAGGTACACGATAAAAAAGAAGCTTAGGCCTAGAGGACGATGAAGAATGGATAGGTGAACAGCAACAATTCAGTGGTCAAAATTAATAGCGCTTCAGATGAATGACAACAGAGATGAAGATAGGAGAAGGAAGAGAGAGAAATTAAGTACGGAGATCCTACCCACAGAACAACTGAGACCCGCAGGCTCTGCAGCAGGGCGCTAAGGGACAATACCTAAGAAGCAAATCAATTTAAAAGGCTTCTCCAGTGTTAAAACTTGGATGATTAAAAGCAATGATACGCGACGGTCGACCTTGGTAGAGCACCAGCTATGCTGACTACCAAGAGTGAAAGCAGTAGTATGTGAAAAATCTTTCATCAAACTCGGCCTAGAAAATTAAAAAAGTGAATTCTTACACTAAACGAAAATTAAAAAGATATTAGCTAAAATACAATAATATAAAGCAAGGAGCGAAGCAACACAACGGTTATAGGAGCTGGAAGCAGTTACAAGCAATTAAGGCTTCGTTTTCGGCATGTAACCAAATTAAATGATGGAGCTCCAGCCCATCTAGGACATCTTAGACTCATTGATGCTCTTTGTAAGACAACAAAAAAATTGTTTCCACTTTAACTAAAATAACTACCAATGTTCTTCTCGGATTCAGAGTTTCAAAATAGAGTCGACGAGAAGTCATACATATCATTTAAGACGCATGAGCAAAGAATTGTTCATAAAAAATCCATTAAATTCTTATTCATCTGGCAACTATGAAGGCCTTACAACAATTGGAATCTTAAGAACTCTCGACGTCTAGGTCAGAGCGATGCCCTTAGGAAAACTGCGGCAACCCTAAACTCAGAGCGGCGCCCTTAGGTTTACACCAGCCACGCCACCAGCCTTCGTCGATCTGAAAATCGTCAGCACTTTATTAAATTTTTGCCTTTGGAAGATTGGATAGGTTGCTTTGTGGTACACTAAGAAAGCCTCATATCAAGGTTCGGAAACAGAAATGGGATAAAAGATGGACTCCGCCAGCACTACAAATATCCCAAACCATCTTGTTACTTGATCTTTTAGTATTGAGTGTGGCTGTGAGTATTAAATAGATCAAATATATCAGAAAGCTGAACAGAGGGAAGAATGAGACCGGTGCAATAACAGGTCAACTTTACCTAGAACATTCTATTTGGAACAGTTTGCCAGATTTTTCTCAGTGTGAAGAGGCGGAGGATAATTACAAAAGAACCCATGAATTGCACTTACTTCGTTACAGAAAATTTTTATTTACTTTTCGAAAAATGGTATTCACTTTAATAAGACATTTTAATTAAAGAATATTGCTCGAAAATTGAAGTTGTCCAGGATTAAAATCGTTATCAGGTAATTAAATATTTGGTCAGTTTGCAATATAAGCGGTTATTCGACCTCAATATTTGAAAAACTCTGGATATTTGAAGAACTAGCAATTTCTTAGCACTGTTTGCAGACAAGGAAATATTTGATCAACACTCGTAAAAAACACTCCACTAATTGACTTTTATTCAGAAGTATTCAAAATTTAGAGATTGGCTATTCAGGTGCAGCAGCCGAACCCCCTCAGAAATCATATAATTCGTCACGGCGATATACTTTTATACAGAGGGAATACCAAGCCATTAATCGCAACAGACCGACCCTAACAAAATTTATAGTCGCCCCAGCTTCTGGTAATCAAATCAGAAGCTGCCGCCTCTGTAAATTTTCACTGGGGATGCACTGATGCCGAGAAATACTTCGATGGCACCAGCCTACGAGCGACCGCACTATCAAAAATGATAAAATTCCGTACCTCCGTCAGCAAATAATTGTTGGCTTCTCAAACAAAATCTAACAAACACAGATGAGGTATCGGCTGCTATGTGTACTCAAGCTAGTTATGATAGTACAGCACCTGGCAAGTATCATCACATTTAAAATTTTAAAAACTCGCATTGTTTGACAAGATGGCTAGCTCACCTGTTCGATGTGAGTTATAACGTCGTCAGGGTCGAAGGAAATTTCATCAGAGTCCGCTGAAAATTAGTACAAGATGCGTTTAAAACGACTCATATAATTAGTACACGTTTGCTTATCTATAAAAAAATGATTTCAAATGAAGTTTCAAATCCATCAATATGATAGAGCACTTAGCGTTCTCGCTTAAATTACATGAATTTCCAGCGAACGCTAGGAGCTAAAGTACCGAACTGAATACTGCAAACTTCATACTTCAACGCTACGGAACATGGTAAGGTCTTAAAGTAGGCATGGACACAAGCATCAACATAAATAAGGTCTTGAACAAATTCTTGAAGATATGATAATTGGAATGAAAAGGTTTCGGAGAAATCTTTCATTGGCCACATTGCTTACACATGCACACTGCGTGATTCACACGCAGTTCGATTTGAATCACCGCAACGTGGCTGTGAGTAGAGCCGTTCAAAACTTATCATAAGATCTCAACATTACATAAATGATATATACCGTACATAATAGGATTAATAGCATTGAATCACCGCAACTATTGTATAGAAGCACTCACCGGCCTGGTAGTCGTAGAGAGCGTAGGCAGTGAGGCCGAGGTTCTCATCGTCTGGAGCAGCGCGGCTGTCCGGGCTGTCGTCGCTGGTGGAGGTTGGGGCAGAAGGCACCGCAGGAGCCGCTGCTGCAGGAGCAGACGTCGCCACGGGTGTTGGCATCTATAATATTCACAATCGAGTAGTAAATGTTGTTTGAAGGTGACAATACTTCATTACAACTAGAATAAACTTTATATAATAATAAACAATATAATAAACAATGCCAATACATAAACATTTAAATCTTCCACATGGAAATGTTCTGATACGTAAGGTTCTTTTCCCGGTGGCTGATTTTCTGATTTTGCTCCTTCATAAAGATGTATAAGTTAACTTCTAAATTCACTCACATGTCTGTAAGAGAAATCTACATTTTGTAGGCAGGCTCAAAGCAAGGAGATGTCTACATGAAAATTTACCAGATCTTATGTAACAATCACATATCGACGCTAATGGTGTTCGTATTTAGTATACCCAAGCAGCTGAAAATTTATTTATTTGATGCATAAAATGACAATTAAATAATACCCAGGCTCCGAATTCAGTATTTAAAACCGGATTGCTGCGAAAATGTAAAGTTTTCATTAATTGTAATTGGGAAATTCCACGCGATAGTCTGATACAACAATGAAGTTTATCAGCTTGGTAGAGCTTCGAATGCGAAATTTAAAATCCCTTTTTCTACAACAATGGTGAAACAACTAAGAATATTACGGCAAAAGTCGGTTAAAGGGTTAAAGCTAAAATTTCGGACGATTTCGCAATCAAAAATAGCAAGCGATCCAAACAACGACCAATAAGACAGAAAGCTTTCACCACAGAATAGCTGCATAGATCCTAATTAAAATAGAACAAAAAAACAGGCAAAACATAAAATATATGTTGGTATATTTTATTAGTATAATCAAGTAGGGATCATGAACATAAGAAGGAGGGGGACTGAGCCTAAAGTCACGAAAACAAAATCTAAGCCAATTAGACACGAGACCAAACACGATCACCACAAAAATGAAAACAGGAACACAATACAATAAAAAAAATTAGCATAAATTACCACGCGGCAGCAATAACTCTAAATTAAGTGGAGTGGTTAATAATCAAAAGAATCACGTTAAAGCCTGCCCACTTAACCACCTGCTGCAGAAATAAAAATCAATGAATAGCAATTATTAGGTGAGGGCTTTAAATCGGAACAAATACCTGCTCGATGCTACACCACAACCTCACCTAGCCCTGCACCACCTCACCTAGCCCTGCACCACAACCTCACCTAGCCCTGCACCACAACCTCACCTAGCCCTGCACCACAACCTCACCTAGCCCTGCACCACAACCTCACCTAGCCCTGCACCACAACC